CTTCCCCCCTCCCTCCTCTTCTCCCCGCAGCAAAATTATTCTCAGGGAAAAACGTGGCAAAGAACGCGGCGGATAAAAACACAAGATCCAAAAACTAAAGCTCGCCACATGCACGCCCGCCGCACCAGGCCGTGAAAACAAGCATCACAACAAGTCAAAACCAAAACCCAAGGCACAACGACGGCAGCAGTGCGGGGAGAGGGACCCAAACGAGACCCTCCTGCGCTCTTCCCCCGCTTCTGCCCGCCGCCCACACGGCCCCTATGCCGCCGCCACGCCATTTCCCGCTCGCTCCCATTTACCACACACACGCAGAGACAGAACAACATTTGTGCACACACCGGAGGCAAAACATGGAAAAAATATGCGCCACCGGCAAACTACACCAACGGTGCACAACGACAAGAAACACCGCCAGATTTGTTTCACTGCTGCCACCCACCCTCGGCATCTGCAGCTGTTGGGTGGTAAATCCACCACACTTCTTGCGGGCCTCCTCAGCACGGCGCCGTGCAAAGCCCGGCCAACGCCACCATCAACCAACAGCAAATCGAAGGCACCAACTGCCAGCCACTGGCCTCCCCCTCTTCAAGGCACCGAGCCCCAGCACCTTCGCCCCTCGTTTTGACTATTGCGATACGCGTCGTCGATGACACTCGTCCCCCACTCGTGCCGCAGGAACACCTGCTGCAGCTCACGCACAAGCTGCACCCCGGCGAACACACTCTTACACGCTATCATGAACAAGTCGCCAATCGTCTTCAACTCGTAGCTGCCGTACTTCGAGAGCAGCACGGCGCCGTGGTCCGCGTGTTCCGAGGCGATGCCCGACGCCGTGGCGACGCACCACCGGCTGATTGCGATGTCGGTGAACACGAACGTCAAGGGGTCCGTTGCCTCCTTCGGCGCATTCGCGTTGCCAAGCGAGTCGTGGCAGCAGCACAGCAGCAGCAACGCCGCCAACTATAATGCCGACCAGCTGCACCGTCGTCAGCTCGCTATGGGTCTCCGCGTACTGCATCGACGGGATCCTGCGCATGGTCAAGCGACCACACAGACACGCACACCGCCCAGGAGTTCATTCACAGTGTGCCCAACACCACGCAAAGGACTCCGCTGTCGCTGACGAGCTTCGCTGGCACGCAGCTGCTGCAGACTGTTCTCTCGCACATGCACAAGGTGACTGCTGAGCTGCTGGTTGACTTCTTCTGCAGGGACGCCGCTGTCACCGTGAACGACATGTTGTACGGATCCTTCACTGACGGCACGGTGTTTGACGCAGCTGGCGGTGCTGGGTGCACTAATAAACTCCTGGGCAGTCTTTGACGTCTAGCTTGCATCGTCCCAGTGCGGCAGGCTCGTCGCGAACACAACGCAGTCGGCACCCGTACCGCACAGCCGGCGAACGCAGCGACCCACCAAACGTCACCAGCGACCGTCGCAGCACATCTGCCACCGCAACTGCCTCCTCGCCGCGGATCACCGCGTGCACCGAACGGACACTCGTGTTCCCAAGGTACTCCGCAAGCACGAAGAACTGCTGCTCCAGCGTCGGCGACGGGTGGATCACGTGCCTGCGGAACCTGCTCAGCCGCGGCTCAAGCTGCAGCGGGTC